GTCTGCATTTCAAAAAGAGAGCAAGCACCAGGCCAAATAAAAGACTAAGTTCTGGGCTGATTGTAGCATTATTACTGATTTACTGAACTGTAGTGATTATGATGTGTAGCAAATGTAGAACAGGAAATAGGGATAGCTAAGATGTTTTCAAAAAGCAAAATTTGCTTCCTGATATGGAAGCACTTACTGACTTGCAGGAATATTTTAAATCTAAATGTCTTCACTAAATACTCTGCTTCTCTGCCTTCTTGAGCAAAGGATGAAGATGAGCATTTCATATGAAAGCCATATGAGAATACTAAGGTAAAACAGTATGACAGCATGCATGCAGGGTTTAGAATATTTTGAATTATCCTCACTTTCTTTTTGCCAGTGTCCAGCGGGATTTTGGCTTCTTTCTGTTTTATTCTTCAAAGATCTAACTTTCTGCCAAAACTTCACCTACTATCAATCAGGCTCCAATTTTTCATTCTTTACCCCTAACCTATCACTGTAACACCTCCGTCTTGAAAATCCTATCGTAAATATTAAGCTCCTCATCTCCCTCTGAAATACACCCTTATCTCAACTTCACCTTTTGTCTTGAAAGACTCAGCAAGCTGCCTATTTAAGATATAAACCTTTAAAATTTGGCATAATATTATTACCTCTCCAATTTTGTCTCTTGTTCAGGCTTTTGCCAAATCCTATCAACTTCATCTACAGCAGTTCAAAAATGTATCATTCCCTTGACATTCCAATCATCAAAATGTGGGTTGTTTCCTTCTGTGCCAACTGTGACCTCCATTAACTTTTCTAATTCCTTCAACTGCCTGCTTTTAATTCCAGGATCCTGACAACTTTATGAACATTTTTACGTTGCCTCTTCTGATCTTTTGTCATGACCTAGATTCATAACTATGTCCTTAATTTTCTTCTTTTCCTGTCATCTTCATTACTTAATCCATGTTACCCTTTATATCTGCAATACCCTGATTAACTCAATGCAGCAAGTAAGCAGCATATATCTATGCTGCAAGTAAGCAGCATATATCTTTTATATCTATCTTGACAACATACTTCCATGAAGCTTAAGTCCACTACTACAACACACATTCTCAGCATATGCAAAAGTACTATTATTGATTAATTTTTAAAATACTGAAATAGCATATCAGGATTTCATCTGCTGGTTATCCTTTTGTGCCTCAGGCTACAACCTACTTGAAAAAGGAACCACAGAAGTATAGGAGAGTACAGCTGAAAGGGACCTCAGGAGGCCAACTCGCTGCTCAAAGTAGACCAACCCTGTCCAAGCCATCCTAGACAAAATTAGCCTGTTCTTAATAACTTCTAATGACAGAGATACCACAAACTCTTTAGGTAGTCTGTTCCAATGTTTAATCACCCTCATAGTGAGAAAGCTCTCCTGGTTGCCATGTGGTTCCTGCCCACCTTCTCCCTGGGTACCTCCCTTTTCTCCCTCATCTGCCATGCCTTGATGGAATTATTTGTTTATGAAAAGGAGACTGCCCCCAGGGTCCCAGAGTGAACACTTACTATTCTGTCGCCAGCTGGTCTCCCCCAGACTCAGCCAGTCCCTGTCCTATCCCTCAGGCAGTACGTAGGGCCCTCCTGATCCTGTGCATGCTCCAGGACTCCAGCTGTCTTGTGGTCTCCTTTTGCCCCTGCCTTGCAGATGTTACCACTTAATTACTCCCATGCCTTAATTTTGCCCATGCCTTGCAGATTTTAATGCTTAATTATTCCAATGGGCAGCTTGCTCCTAATACAATGTCAGGCCTCCTCAGGCCTCCAAACCTTTATTGGGGCCTCGACCTTCCCAGTTCCCAACCCTTTTTTCTAGCTGGGCTACTTATCCTAGGTGCACTGCACCAGATCTCAGCTTCACCAGATTAGGCTCCAGGCCCCTGGCCCTGGTTTTGACCTCTCAGGCTCTAGCTCTAGCCCTACCAGCTTCAGGCCACCGCTATCACCTTTGCTGGCTCAAGCTTTAACCCTCCTGGCTTCCACCTTTCCGTATTTTGAGCCCTGACCCTTGGCAGGTCTCAAACCTGCACATACCCCTTGGGCACCTCTGTGTCAGTACATACATCCATTTAGATAAACCCTTGACACAAGTCAACTTCTGCCTTCCATGATCTCTCCTTCCTTCAATCTTTCCAGTTATGACCGGACTTTCAATTTCCTCTTTCCTCATAACCTGTCCGAGAAACTCCAACTGTGTCTTTCTGATGTTAATCAGCAGCTTTGTCCTGCAGCCTGCTCTTAACAAAATATCTTCATTTAAAGTGTGACTTGTCCAACATACTTTCAAGATGCACCTTAAGAACCACATCTTAGTTGCTTCAATTCTCTTTTCCATACTTGGTGATGTTGTTCACTATTCTGATGCATACATGAGGACTGGTATAACAGCAATCCAAAACTCTTAACTTCATCCCCATAGAAATTTTACTATTTGTCAATATCTTTTTCACTTTCAGAAATGCATCTTTGCATTTTCACTTGATACTGACAAACCTGGCTCCCTGCTACATCTTCCTAATATCCAGTCTTAATGTCCCTTGTTGCCATTAAAAACTGTTGTTTCTTGTCCTGTACCCCACAATCATATAGAATAGTTTATTACCATATACCATCCTTCAGGTATTTGAAAACTATTATCAAATCCCCCTCTTCATCAAAGCAAATAAGCCTTTTCATGGTTCCCAGACTTCTTATAATGTTGTTGCTCTCTGCTGGACTCCTTTTAATTTATCCACAGCTTTCTTAAAATGCATGATCCAAAACTGGGCCTTACCAGTGCCAAACACAGTGGGAAAATCACTACACTTGATTTGAAAGTGATGCTCCCATTAATACAGCTCAGTATGCTATTAGCCTTTTTTTTTGCAACAGGAGCACATTCTTGGCTCATATTCAGCTTGTGAACCACTATAATAACCATTTTCTTCAGTACTGCAATCTAGCTTATCATCCCCCAGTCTGCATTTGGGCTTGAGACTATTCAGTCCTAAGTGCAGGACTTCATTTTCCTTAATTAATTTCATTTGATTAATATTGGATGATTTCTCTAGTTTATCCATGTCATTCTGGATCCTAATCCTACCCTTCAGTGTGTCTGTAACTTCAAGCAGTTTGGAGTCACCTACAAATCTGTTAAACATGCACTCAAGTCTTGTCTTTCGAATCATTAATCAAGATACTAAACAATAACAGACTTCTGGGGAACCCCACTTGAAACCTCTTTCCAATTAGACATCAAGCCATTGATGACTATTCTTTGAGCATGGTGATCCAACCAGTTATGTATCTGCTTTGCAGTACTTTAATCTAAACTATATTTCCTTAGCTTACTTAAGATTTCCCTTATCTTCTTTTTATCTGGTGACTAGACATCTGCTCCTTATTTTACCCTATTCTGAATGGAATAAGACATGGCTTGATTATGTGAAACTTTCTTAGGTAAGAAAACCCACCTAAATTGTGTATTTAGAAGCACGAAGAATAGAGTGCTGATGAACAACACAGAACATGTTTATTGTGGGATGTGAGATGAGTGGAGGTCTAAGGTTAGGTCAGGAGAGATAAGTGACAAAAATAACATTTTCAACTTGTATGTTTTATTTAGAGGGGCAAAGAAAATTAGGCAGTCATTGTAGAGCGTTTTACTGCTTGAAATCATGGCTTTCATATTAACAAAGGGTATATAGACAAATGGGGGGAGGGGGTTGCTCCTGTTAGAACAAGATTTATAGATTGAATTTTACTTTAAAATGTAAACAAATAAAATAACCAACTGCGTGGAGATGCATTTCCCTAAAGCCATTGTAATTTCATATTAAATATCTTTATAGCAAGAAACCACAGAGAGGTTTTCCATATGCTTTCACTTTCGTAAATATTGACAGCGGGTTTTTATTTTGGTTTGTTTATTTGTTATCCATTTAGAGGCCATTTGTAAGGGACAAATTTACTAAACTTTATTCAAATATATTCTCTGCACATCAAATACCAGATGTATTTTCTCAAGCTCATAAAATCAGTATGGTAGCTTTTGTTCAACACTAACTTTATGCAACTTGAAGTATTACCTGAAAATGAATCAGATCATGAACTGGGGTTTGCTCAAACAATTTCCAAATATAAAGTGGAAATAAGAATCTAAGAGGGTAAGTGCAGCTGTTGAGTCAAGAAAAGAAACTAAGATGATGTTGATTTATTTATTCAATTAGAGAAAACATATTATAGACCCTTCCTTTCTGCTTGTCTTTTCTAAGTAATTTAAAAATACCAGAATTTATACAATCCTCTACAACTTCACAACATGACTTGAAGTTTTTTGTGCTTACTTTAAACATCATTCCCTTCATGACCACTTTGTGTGTTGGTTATCTTTACATTTTATTACTACCTACTTCATGTTGCAAGTTCTGTGAAGCTAAGTCCATGCTTTTTATTTACCTGTAAAGTACCAGTATAAATATCACACACACACAATTGATACATTTGTGCCATTAATGTTTATTTGATTAACCTGAACCATTTCTATATGCATTTCTTAAAGATATTTCTTTTGATATTTACTGTAAATGCACATTAAAAATAAAAGGGCTTTATGCACACAGATAAAAATATGTAAAAATATAAACTAGGAGTTAAAAGGTTGGGAAGGTAGGAACTTAATACAGGTCACCTGTTTTGTATGTCTGCTCTGTCCTGTGGTAAGTGAAAGATAAACTACAGTAATTCAGCAGTTGTTTCAGTCATGGATAAATCACCTTGCTTTAGCTTCCACTTACTGTGGGATAAAACAGATACACAGAACAGATGATGCACAGGAATTTTCCCTTCCTCCTGCTTCTTCCTTCCATTTTTGCTTAATATAATTTGTTTTCTATTTGCCCTGTAAGATGTTTACCTTGGCTAAAATATTGTGGGTATCCTCAATTACAAAAGCATGATGACAACAAGCACAAAAAAAACATACACTTTACCTGACAAGACAACTTCTACTAGGTCTCCTTCTTGGATATCAGTAGCTGACTTCACCAGCTGGAGAATATTTTCAGAGGTAGGGTCGTGGCGGAAAAGTAGGATTTTATCATACATTCCATAGAAACCACATTCAGGAAACTGCAAATATAAAACCAGGAACATTTAACTAGTATAAAATACAGGTCTGTAAAACATAACTAACAAAACTAACATTTCTGGTAATAGACTATTCCTCACATTTACATACTTATAAACTAAGCATGCACATAGCTTTGTTTAATCATTTCTCTCATTAAACATGTATCACCTCACAAAATCCTAAAATATGAGGCCTATTGCTCATATCATCTCTTTAAAGTGCCTAATAAAGTACTTAAAAAAATAGATAGGGCAATAGGGCAGTATATGTAACACTATCTAAAACTAATACCACTAGCTGGATTAACTGTAAAATGCCCTAGAGTTCAAATCCAATGGTTTTCATTTCTCAGTAAGTAAGAATCCTTAGATTACAGCTGGTTGGAAGCAGTCCTAAAATATTTCATATGGTGAAATTCCCTAGGGGTGGGATCCCAGCATTTCCAGATTTGCCAGTCTAGAAACCCTAGAAATGGTAAAGGGGTCCTTGGATGTTCAAATAATGTTTAAAAACTGAAAAATTGGTATTAATTTGGTGCAAGTGAAAAGTTGTTTAGTACTCCTTCATTAGCTACATATTTTAGCTCAGGAGACAGCAACATTTTTCAGCAGGGCTGGAATGACCCAGGTTGGGTTGGAGCATTAGTACTCAGCCACCATTGTTGCTTCCCCCAACTGCTCAGCTGCAGCATGGTGCAGCAACAGCTGTGCTCTGTCAAAGCCCATGCCATGCCATCGGTGCAGAGCAGGCCCCAGACAGCTCCCTCACCGCAGCACACCCTGCTCTTCCCCCCATCATCAAATGCACTGAAGTCATGACTCTGTGGGCCAGACCCAAAGGCTCCATGGAACAGATCCAGGCTGTGGGCCATAGGCTGCAACTGGATATTAGATCTTGTCTACAGATGGATGAACATACGATCAATAAGTTAACTGCTGAAATAAGGTTATGGACATTTTATAACTCCATTCAGTTCATATGCATTTCAATAGTAAGGTTAACCTGTTCATAAATCCAGGATGACCATTTGGCATAATATGAATTACTCAAATTTTTTACTCTGCCAATAAAACTGAAGTCAAAGCTAGTGATTCAACTTTTAAATAAGAATGTACTTCTAACTTACAAACAGCCATTAGTTAATTGTACAATATGTAACGGTTTGTATTCTTACATATTCCTCATCACTGCTTTTTAGCCAATACTTTTTTCTATTCATTAACAAAACTTATTTCACTTAATGAACCCTTTAAACAGGGGCTTCAGAGTAATACAGTGGAGGGCACAGAGGTCATAGCAGAATTTCAATCACTACCTAGCTGTTATGGGAGTGGAACCTAAGGTCTTTCCCCAACCACCATATTAAATGCTTATTTATTGGACAGAAGAATGTACACATATCAGATTTTGATTTAACAGGAAAATCGGTTGATAATCTTTGCTTTTCCATACCATGCTTTTAGAATAGAAAACATGCTCATGAGACTTTAAAAAACTGTTAAATATTATCTTAGCAGCACGATTATTGTAGTATGGTGCTGCATTTTTTCAGTATGTTATTAATTGCATGAAACAATATTCCCTGATTTGGTCATAATAATCCATTTTTAGTAAAGATGCTTGAGATTTGAAATTTGGAAAATCCTCATTAAATTAAATAAGCCTTCAGAAAAGCTCAGAGCTGATATACTTTGCTTGAACTTATTACAATATCAATAATTTTTTTTGTCATTAGCAAAAACATTTGAGATAAGCAAGTCCAAGCTTCCAATTTAAAAAAAACAAACTGTTAACTGTGAAAGCACAGCCAGCAATTCCTGAATTTAGTTTCAGCATTTCGATTCAATTCTATATTTGAAAAATAATTCTGGATATCACTTGGAATTTCCAACTATATACAATTTACACATGGCATAGTAAATATACAGCTAGCCAAGCACTCAAGTGTCATTGCTACACTGAAAAAAGATTTAAAAAAAAAGAAGCCCAACAAAAATATGCACCAAAAATCAAGACATTAACTATATTACAAGTTGCTAGATGACTGAGAATCAGCCAGTCAAGAGACAGACTAACTATGACTACTGTTCAGTTGTTAGTGTGCTCAGCAGGGGTCTTGGATGATGACATTTAAGTCCCTGGTATAAAAGAGAGAGAACACAGAATTAAGCCTAGGTTTTCCCAAATAAATCTACTAAACGCTGGGTCTCACTCCCATTTTCACACCAGAAATTCCATCCTGCTGCTTAAGATCCCCTCCTGCCAAACACTCCATCAAAAATCATGTGTTCCTAATTGGTTTAAGTGAATTGTTATCTTGAACGAAAACCTATTTGATCAGAAAAGTCACATCCAGACATCACGGCCATGGTGCCTACTGTCTGCAGGAGCAGAACACATGGACAGGTTTGCAGGCTCAGCAGCCAGTCCCACAACTTTAGATCTTTTTTCTCTGTTTGGTGACACTTTGCTTATGCTTGGGTGGCACCATCTGATGCACCCTACATGCAGCATGACGCATCTTTTGATGTACAGAGGATATGGGACTGAAGTACTGGTGAGTTAAAGGGGCAGATCCAGAAAAAGAATCATGAATAATGTATTAAAAGAGGATGAACAAGATGAAAAAAAACCCAAACCCAAAGTGGGTACAGCTATGATATGTTGCTCACTTAAAACACCACATAAAAATGGGGGAGCCATTGTAAAACCATTAGTTCTACAATATTTGTAATAACTGAAGATTGATATTGCAGCATTCAATAATATAGACTGAATTCATTTTGTTTTTTAGAATCACAGGAAAATAGGGTTGGAACAGACTTTACAAGGTCATCTAATCCAGATTACTGTCCAGGGAAGAATCATTCCCAACTAATCATCCCAGCCAAGTGTCTGCACAACTTGCTCTTGAAAATTTCCAGGGATGTAGGTAGCCTGTTGCAAAGCTTGAAAAACCTCATAGTCAGAAAGTTCCTCCAAATTGTTAAAGTAAATTTCCTCTGCTGCAACTTCAGTCCATTGCTTCTAGTCCTGTCCCCTATGGCCACAGAGAAAAGCTCGTCTCCATCCTCTCTATAATTGCCCTTTAGGTATCTCAAGACTGCTATCAAATCCCTCCTCGGTCTTCTATTCTCTAGCACTAAATAATACTTTCTAGCACTTTTTAATAGCACTAAAATAGTTCTTTCAGTGTTTCCTCATAAGTTATGGTAGCCAGCCTCTAATCATTTTTGTTGCTCTCTGATGGACTCTTTTCAATCTGCCCATATCTTTCTTGAAGCATGGGACACAAAACTAAGCACCATACTCCAGGAACAGCCTCACTAGCAATATATAGGGAAGCACTGGGCTGTTATACACATGCTCTGAGAGTGGCAGGGGGGATGTGGGGAAGAGCACTTTAATGACAGTGGCTCCATGAGTGGCCAGAGCATCTTGTGTATCAGCACCCCATCACTGGAAAATGGCAGTGGGGGAGCTAAAGCTCACTGAACAAGCCTTAAAGTACCCCCCTCTCCCCCCACCATTTTTCAGTGCAGGGATGCTAATACATGAGACGCTGGAGTCTGCTGGAGTGCGGTAATTACACATGTGTAGGCACCCATCATTTCTCTTTATTTTCAAGTGACACTCCTGTTAATACAATCCAGGATGCTGTTGGCCTTTTTAGCAACAAGAACACATTGTTGGCTCATATCCAGCTTATGGTCTACTGTAAACCCCAGTCCTTCTCTGCAGTACTACAGCCTAGTCACTCATTCATATGGACATAAGCCTGCAATTTATGAACATGAGCCTGCAATGCGATGCTGTGGCTACTAAAGCGACCAAAATGCTGGCTTGCATCCATAGATGCTTCTCAAGCAAATCCTGGGATGTCATTCTCCCCTTGTACTCAGCCTTGGTGAGGACGCAGCTGGAGTACTGCATCCAGTTTTGGGCTCCACAATTCAAGAAGGATGTGGAGAAGCTTGAGAGAGTCCAGAGAAGAGCCACGCGCACAATAAGAGGTCAGGAAAACAGATCTTACGACGACAGGCTGAGAGCCATGGGGCTCTTTAGCCTGGAAAACTGCAGGCTCAGGGGTGATCTGATAGCCACATATAAGTTTATCGGGGTGACCACCAGGATCTGGGGGAACATTTGTTCACCAGAGTGCCCGCCCCAAGGAATGACGAGGTTGAACGGTCATAAACTACTACGAGACCGTTTCAGGCTGGACATAAGGAAGAATTTCTTTACTGTCCGAGCCCCCAAGGTCTGGAACAGTCTGCCATCGGAGGTGGTTCAAGCACCTACATTGAACACCTTCAAGAGAAAATTGGATGCTTATCTTGCTGGGATCCTATGACCCCAGCTGACTTCCTGCCCTTCAGGTGGGGGGCTGGACTCGATGATCTTCCAAGGTCCCTTCCAGCCCTGATGTCTACGAAATCTATTCCCAAGTCCATATTTGTGCAAGCAATTATTCTGTTATTAATTATTCTATTATTAAAGCAGGACTCTGCACTTATCCCTATTGAATTTCTTCTGATTGATTTCAGACCATTTTCTAGTGTATCTAGGTCATTCTGGATCCCAGCCCTGACCTCCAGTGTCTACAACTCCACCCTACTTGCTACCATCTGCAAATTTGCTAAGTGTGCGCTCAATCCCATTGTCCAAATAATTAATAAAAATAGTAAACAGCACCCCTGAGATACAGCATGTTGGCCTGTTTTGCAATAAGAGCATACTGCTTGCTTATACTCAGTTTACGGTCTACTATAAGTTCCTAGTCCTTCACTGAAGTACTGCAACCTACACAGTCCTTCCAGTCTGTATTTGTGCATGCAACTGTTTCATTTTAAGTGCAAGACTTTGCATTACATTTTACTGAATTTAGTTTGATTGATTTTGGATCATTCCTCTAGTTTATCAGTCATTCTGAAACACTAACCTACCTGGCAGAGTGTATGCAACTCCACCTAACATGGTGTCATTGCAAATTTCCTGA